GCCGGGTGCAGAGCAGCTCCATTTGTCTGGCTGCCCCGAACACACTTCCGGGTTCCTGATGGTGCCGGACCATCAAGAGTGCCAGAGCATTGGATGCCGGACTAATGGAGTTTTACTGTACTGGGTCTAGTAAAGACATACTAATTAGAACTGAGCAGCACCAGGAGTCCTGCTCCTCACAAGGAGTAAGGGTTCAATGGGAGCATATGCCCCCATCGATTTCCCACTGAGTAGACGGTGCCAAAACACAATTTAAGATACTTTGATTCCAGATACACAATTAATGTAGTTGGATTTACATATCTTAAGACAACTTTTCCTTTTAGGGTAGACCAGGCCTTAGATATAAAAATTATAGGCTGTTAAAAAGGCTAGAAGACTTGCCTGCTTAATACACTACATGAACTATTTCTCAACAGAACAAAATAAATTATATAATATGTTCTTTATTTCTATTATGCTAAACACTATTATTCTAATTAATCTATAATTTCACAAAATTGATCTGTGAGCATACTCACCTCATTATGCTACTAATATAATTTACTTTACTTATATAAAAAGTAATGACAAATTAGCTTATCTTATTGTTGCAGTTTCACAGTATTAGACCACCAGTAGCTTTGGCTCATTTGCTTTTTAGGCCGAATGAACAAAATCTACAATACAGACACTTTTAGAAATGAAAATAACATTCACTAGCATGACAAAATAGCAAAAATGAAAACCCAATCCAAGGCATCATGCATTAAGGGCAGGTTCATATTCAATAGAAAATGTCTGTGGCACATACTTGCAGTTACTTTTGCTCTAGCTGAGAAGTAAAAGAGGGAAGAATAAAGTTTAGAATGGAAATGTATGGAGAAGGCTGACAATATTTTTCAGGCCAAAACTTGCTTTATTTATTCTTATATATAATTAAGCATTTTTAGTTACAACATTGCTAGTTACAATAGTAACAATGACAATAATCACTTTGAGAAAGATAAAATGTGCTATGTAAGTATTAAACGTAATTATTAACAACAGCCCCCTTATATCAACATAACTTCTTTTACATTGTAGGCCAGAGCGGATGACCTCTTTTATTGCAGTGGTCATCAATTTGCAGTGAAATTAAACTGTTCTCCTTTACACTGCTGCAGTAAATGCATTGCACACGAGAAAGTTCATACTACTGTAATGGTAGATTATTACTGTAATGGTAATATCCAAGAGTCATTTAACAAAATGAAAAATAGATAGTCCAATGTGGTGGACCAAACAAGATAACATATAAAATGCTAGTCTAGGGAGATAACTACTCTGGAGGAAAATGGAACTGTCCCTGGTCCTGAGAATTTGAACAATGCAGCAGCTCAATGAAATCCAAATGAATTGCAGAATGATAGAAAAAAATAATTTATGAATGAAAGTATTCAAAAGAAACTCTTTCAGATTATGGGTCAAACTCTGCTGAAATAACTTTCTTGACAAGAATGGAGTCAAGGAAGCAGGAAATTGTCTTTATACTGATGAAAAATTTGACATGGGAATTCTAAAGATTTGTAATGGCTTCAAGGTCACAGTATTCTGCAAAAAGTTTAACAATACTATAAACTCCTACATTTTGTCATTTGTCATATGCAGTTTTATTATGAGATTTATGTATACAGCAATTTTACATGTAGGGATAACTGAACATAACAGTAAAGCTTACCTGATTTTGTTTGTGGAACTTCTTTTTCATGTCTGACAGCTTCATGCTCTATATAAAAACAGCAGCATGAAACGGCTAAGTCAGTGATGCATTTTTAATAATAGTAAGCATTGTGTGTATGTTTTCTTCAAGAGTAAACATTTTTCTTATACTGTACATGCTGTTATTGTGGAAAAAAAGCCAAATTACTACCCTCTAACAGCCTATTCACTAGGAAGTCTGCAGCATAGTAGTGATAAGTAATATTGCACGAAGGTGTCAAGTCTCCCCATGATGCACACATAATGCTATTAATGCTACCAAAAGTTATGCACATATTTCCAGGGATAAAAATTGCGGCAAGATGTAGATTCAAAGCATATGCCCCAAAATGAACAAGGAGGTAATATTTTATAGTATAAATTCAGTACCCGTGAATATAGTCTACCCTTTAATCAGTAGCACAGATCACAAATAAGTGGATGACTGAAGTATTTTGGGGACTGATACATATCTCTGTGGATCAATGGGCACTTGCAAATTTGCCTCTTTTACCAAGCATTTGTTTGCAAGTTAGATACTTAAGATGAACGCCAAAAGTTCAGAATACATCCCAGGTCATACGAATAGACTATACGTTGTGATGGAGAAGAAAGGAAAGGAAAAGCTGAAGCAGCCGTAAGCTCTTATATTATGGTAGTACAGGTATCTTGGCCAACTGCAAACAACTAAGTGACATAGCAATTTTTAGAGCAGAAAGATCAGGTGAGTGCTATGTTGGCCACTGTTTCTCTCTCTAATTTCCACAACATTGTAACAAAAAAACAAAAACAAAAAACAAAAAACAAAAAATAAAATAACAACAACAAAAAACAAAATCCCTCAGCAAGTAGCAATACTTAAAAGTGAACTGAAAAGTTAAAATAAAAAAAATAGCTAATCCCAGAAATCAGTGCTAAATGCCTCTGTCCCATCCCCATTAAGATTCCCAGGAGTTCCATGTTTAATGATGATTCCACAGAATGATGCGTTCTGGGAAATGCCTAGAAAACCAGGAAGTGGCAGGAATTTCACACAGGAGACCGTGAATATAAACAATGAATTTAAACTCAATTTTGTGCTGTGTGAACCCTCCTTACATACACACACAATGCATTTTTGGGGTGGGATTACTTTTATGATGTACTCAAATTTTTACTTCAGCTTTGCAGTACACCTGTATGTGTTGAAGAAAAGAAGGGCATAGAAAGTCAGCAAACTTGCCATACTGTAACCTCCATTTGTTCAGGCACTAGCTAAATCCCACAGTTACTGGGACACATTTCATGTTTACTTGTACCCTCCCAACCCCATTTGAGAGAGAGCTAAATTTCGCAGCGTGTTTTAATGTTTTTTCCTCTTTTTGTTTACTTGACCAACAGTGTTCATTTAGTCCCAGGTGATTGTTAACAACGATATTTTAAAAGTGTCCTACTCCTTTACTTATTTCTGTACTGAAATTTGTGATATGGGAGGGAACGAAATGAATTCTGTGCTAAAACAGTTGGTTATGGAACTAAATGGACTGCCAGTTAGGAAAGACAAACAAGTATGTTAAATAAAAGCAAAAGCAGAGAGATTAGGATTGCTGGGAAAGAGAGAAAGTAGTTTTAAGCAAAAACTAAAAAGATTACCAAAACAAAATTTTTGTTAAAAACAATCACACATCCAACTATATTACAGGATTTAGCCTTCTCAAGGTTTATACCACATACTTGCTGGCTTTGATTTGACTACAAAGGATAAAAGAAGGTAAAAATATAATATTTTAGGGATAAAGAATGAAGAAATACACTATAAACATTTTTGCTTACTAACATTGTTCCTTCCATTTTGTATATTCCTTCCTCACTCATTCTTAGCTGAAACATCACATTCCTTTCACATATAAAAAGGTATAAGTAACCTTACTATGGGCCAGATTAAGAAGGAATTTAGGCACCTAAGGATACAGACAGGTGCCTAACCTACTTTTGTAAATGACACTGGGTTCCTACTGAAAATCATTATTAAATAAATGTATATCATCATCACGCTATCACATGCTAATTCAACTGAGTATAATAAGCCTAATTTTCCTCTTCTGACAATGTAAATCAGGAGTAATTCCACAGTTGTCAACAGATGGTTGTACATATGGAATATAAAGAGAGTCAGGTCTTTTATACATATCTTGTGGAATAACACACACTATCTCTATAGCTAGTAGTAGCTGGCCAAACTAAAATGATAGAGGTCAGATTTGGTTTTGATCAGTGAAGATTATCCAGACTATCTGAAATGTTTAAGTCTGAAACTGGATTGGAAATTTCACAAAAAGCAGCCCTGTCATGACCTTTCTGACACTCCTGTTTCCAACCATACCCAGATATAATGGAAAAAGAATTGTTTTGTGATAGTTTGGTCAGAAGTCAGAGATGAGCCTTGTATGAATATTAAAAAAAGCTTGAATTTAATTGTAGAAATGGCTGAAAATACAAGAATGCTATTATTTTTAAGCTAGCTCATTTTTAAGCATCCCGGGTAGCTAACTTATTTAATATTACTTGTAGATACGATTTGAGTGTATTTTCAAATGGAATATTTGACAATACTGAGATTTTGTGTTTGGCAATTCTGCCAAAGCTATTATCAGACTGATACAAGTTAAACTGTTTTGGACTTTACTTTGCGATAGTATATTTGTATAAAACAATATTTTTACAAGATATGCAAGCCTGATGTTATGTTTCATCACTTTGTTTTATAGTACCATAATCATGCAAATTCCTGGTAAAATATAAAGATAAACAATATAACTAACAAGTACTATTTAAAGAAACCAACTCTTTTCAAATATACACTATTTTAATGGGTATCTAATTTGCAAGGAAGATCATACACTAAATCAGGCTGTGTCTAGACTCAGGCTTCTTTCGGAAGAAGTTTTTCCAGAAGAGATCTTCTGAAAAAACTTCTTCTAAAAGACAGAGTCCTCACTGTGAAATTACATTGAAAAAGTGATCTGCTTTTTCGACAGATAGTGTCCACACTGAATGGACACTATCTTGCATGTAAACTGTGATTACTATGGGCAGAATGGCCACCAGGGAACCTGTGCTTTTTCCTCTTCCCTCTTCTTGCAAAAGAACGCCATCTTCCCCATCAACACATCTTTTTCTGAATTCATAAATGTGAATTGTGTACAGTATTAGAAAAACACAAATCTACAAAGGATGACCTCTCCTTACCTAATTTTTCAGTGGGAGCTGTCTTTTCTTGTTTCATTTTTTCCTCTATATTAAGGAAAGGTATAAAAATATACATTCATGTGATGTTAGCATAGGTGTATAATAAACAATATATTTCTAAATACATCATATTTTACTCAAGCCACAAAATAAGAAAATAAACCCATTCCTTTAGCATTACTTTTATTGTAGCACTGTAGAATTTGTATTCTGATTAACTACTGAGGTAAAACAAAGAAGATCCAGAATGGAACCGGTGAAACTTTTCAGCAGACACAAAGTAGTTAGTCATTTTATTAATTTACATTCAATTTAGGTTTTTTTATTCCCTTACAATGTGATTGTCAGATTAATATGAGAGCTGTGCACCAAAAGTGACTCAATGCCATCTCACAGCTACCTCTAAAACTGACAGAACTATTTGGGCACAGCCAGGAATTTGAAGAAGCAGCTATTTTAGATAAAGCATCTCTTTTTCACGTCAGCTAAATTCTAAAATGTTCCTATTTTAATGCCATTGCATTTCCATTTGTCTAGGGTTTGTATATTAACAGTTTCATATATCTATACAGCAAAGAAAGGTCTAGATGACTTTAAAGTGGGCACTGTAGCATCAAATGGGTTAGTGCTGAGTGAACCTCAAAAGGTTTGGAGCTTATCCAAATGCTCCAAAGTCTCAGTGCTTACGTGAGCCTTAAACTGAATGGTTTTTGCTTTCCATTGTTATGATGGAAGTCTCACAAAAATTTTTTGTCCACGAATGTTTCACTATAATCTGACTCTTCCCAAAGGGAGGACAGCTTTTAAAATATGCTTGTATGTTGGGATTTCCTGAGGTTAGCTCAGCTTCGATTATAATAAGACTATGGTTGTGCCAGTGCTATGTATTCAGGTGCTTTTGCAACATGTGCAGAGAAGTCAGCATAAGCCAAAGGAAAGAAATATACACATTTCCAGTTTTCTCTCCTAATATGCGTGAAAAGAACACCATGTTTGAATCCCCACTTCTCAAATAGTCTCACAACAAGATGGTGGTATTGGCTGTATGATATTCAAGAGCCACCACGTTCAGAAGTAGAAGTATATACTGACATCTAGGGAAACTATAGCTGATCATTAAGTCAGTGCAGATTTCACTGTGCTCAGAGGGCAAGTATTCATGCAGACTGAATGTGTTACATGCAACAGAGCAGCCAGGAGAAAGCCTCTAACTTTCTATCAGTGTGTGGTGAACTGGAACTGGATGGTTTTTATTGCTAAGGGCAAGAGACTGCCTCAACAGAGTCCACTTACACTGACGTGCTAATTCAGCTACCCTAGGAGCTTGCTGCTATTTTCTTAGGCCAGACTTAATGCAGGAGCTATGCTGGTGCATAGACCAGCCATACCGACTCTGATAGAAGCCTTGACAGGTGAATATTCTGTCAAAGGGGAAGGTTGCAACAGTGGAAAGAGGCAGTAATGACCTCATTACCAATTTACCAAGTGGATGGCAGGTTAAGTCAAAGGTAGATACTTAAAGCTGTCCATTCATGAGAGGATAGTGGCAAATTGTCTTAGGACAATCATAAGATTCAGGACCAGAATGGTGAAGGAAAACATGTTATATCTCCTTGCACTGGCTTCACAAAATATGGCACAGAGTCCCTAATATCAGTAAATAAATAAGGGATTATGAGGTGAAAAGCAGATTTTGACTGTTTAAAGACTAGGATGAGAATCATTGACTGCCGCTTCCCTCCAAGAAGGCAGCAATAGAAGATTTCTAAATATCACCAGTTGCTCGATGCAGTGAATTCTTGCAGGGGAATCCTGTGCATATTTATGACATTCTAAATCTACTAGCTTGCTCCACTGTTATACAAGGGAGATGGGAAAACTAATATTCAAAGGATGAAGATTTCCAGTGAAACTGTCAAAACTACAACAAAAATGTGTGTTTAGACAAATAGGTGAGAAAGACCTATTTGTCTGAAGCTGAAGGAATTAATGTTTGTAAAAAATATATTAGTGATCTGATCCAAGAAGCATTTGTTTTTATGTAAATCTAGTCCCCACGATAATAGGAGTGCTGTCAAACAAGATCAATGAGATCCAAATATCTGATGTTTCAGTGCCTATTGCATACAATAAGTCTATTCAGAGGCAGCTTAACCTAGCACAAAACAGCTGAATTTTCTATCAAATAATCATTTTAACGTAGGTTTCCATGGCAGGACTATGAATAACCTTGTTGTTTCAGGGGGGTTTCAGAAACTGCAGCCCAGTGAGAGGAAAGGGATTCACAGTCTGGCTCACTGTGGTACTCATAATGGATGAAATTCATGAATCACCCCAGTGCACATTATCAACACACAGTTGATTCATAACTGAACTCCTTGTCTGTAAATGATTCATAGACTGTATGTTTGTGCTCTTTACATAGTACTATATCCTGTCCTCTTTTGGACTTGGACCATTGTCTGTAACAACTGATTGTGCTGGGGAAAAGCTCAGATGGGGGAAATTTCAAATATTTATCTTTGGATTATTAAGGGTCAGATTATATGCACCTTACTCCCACTGGAGAGGAGATTTCCATAAATTGTTCCACTGCCAGGACTACTTGTGGGAACTACAACTCACCATTAGGAACAAGGCATTGAAATCTGGACCTGTGGGAAGTCAATTTTCCTAGCTGAATGTTGCAAACAAACCTCACCCCCAAAGAAAAACAAAACAAACCTTTCCCTGACCTAACAGAGGACCCTTCCTCCCAGTCCTGTATAATGTATAAAATTCCTATTAGAAAGGACCCATAAAGGAACATTGAAACTGAACACAAACAATTACCTGATTTTGCAGGGGGAACAGCTTTTTCTTGTTTAGTAGATTGATGCTCTGCAAATAAGAAGAACCATAGGACAGAGATTACATATTAGCCTGTATTACAGTATTTCCATTTATAGCTGAAATATGAAGAGACATTGCAGTTCAAAATCAGAGGAAAATGTATAACAGTTGGTGCCATAATTGCTGTGCAAGTTTCTGACTTCTGTTATACCAGTATAAATCTAAAAGAACTCCTTGAACTTCCATCTCACTCATTTTCTACACTCATATCTCTGCTCTGACAAGCAACATGTGGGTATGCCTTCCTCTTGCAAATATAACTTTCTCCATCCATCTTATACTTACTGTGTTCATGAGGTTTTACAACTGTAGCTAGAAAAAAGAGAAATATATTTTAAATGTATGTCACTATAATGTATGTTTTAATTAGTTTGTTCTATTTGAATCAATAACACAAAGCACTGACAGTCTATAAAACAGTCAGCATACTGTTTACAAATACTATAATATTTGCAAAAACTGAAAAGTAGAGCACTGTCATGACTGAATAGCTCCTTACAACTCATTTTAGGCCAATTATGAAGTGATATGCAAAACAGTCAAAATTAGGCTCCTGTAAAATTCCCTTAGAACTAATGACACCCATTCTAGCAGCTCATGAACAATTCTAAATGGATGGCAGTTTAGACATGAGCAAAAATGTTTGTGCAAACTTTTCTTTTTTGTTGCGGGGAAGAAATGCAGATATGGCAACACCAAAACATTTCATGAATTCATGTCCATTTTTCCTGTTTTCTTTTCCAGTTGAATAAAAGAAAAAAAATAGCCTGAAAATTCAAAATATTTTGACTCAGAATTTTCAAAATGGATAATTTCAGGGCTTTTAAAACTTTGAAATAACTTTTTATTTTGAAATACCTTTTATTTTTATTTTGAAACATTTTAAATGGTCAAAATCTAAACAAAAACTGTCAACTCTTTGATCTGCCAAAAATTCCAAAATTATTTGTTTTTCAACTTTCAATTTTTATTTACCCAGATATATGCCAATTATATTGCTAGCTAGCTATAGGGTTTGGGGAGGGGAGTCATTAAATTTCATTCTACAAAGGGGTATAGCAATGGCTACAGGTGATTCATTCTGCCTCCTTGATTTCACTCTGAATCACTGATGCTTTGAATTATCCTCACTAAATTGCAAAAATGTTTCCCAAAGAACAAAGCCATAGGGTCATCAGATGCCTGCGTATCATTCAAGAGAGCACAAGGAAAGATTGCTGATACATTGGTCCATGCATCACATCCTCAAAGGAAAATATAATCTATTATGTAAGTTTTGGCCTCCCCGCTTGTTAGGTTATATGCTGCAGTCCACAGCAACCATTAGGTAGGGGAAAGCAATGCTTCTGTTAAGTAGATCAGCAAAGCAAACTGCAGAGCAAGTCCCAACAAGGAGTCTAATGAAACATGCAGCCAGATCCTCAGCAAGTTTAAATGGAGCTACTTCAGCTTACACCAAGTATGAACTTGCCCCTTTATTATGATTGGCAGGACAACATGCAGGACTCAGGGGGTGGGGAAATATTAATGTTTTCAGTGTGGAAAAAAACCACCTCTGTAGTTGTTTTTCACCCTCAGAGAGAAATACCAAAAGGAATAAAAAACGTGTGGACTTCTTTCCTTTACAGAGCAGCTATTTTGCAATCACCCATTCTCCACTTGAGCCTGCTGTTGTTACCCTGGATTAAAAGAGACAGCAACAGGGGCCAATACACAGATAACAACAGAAACAATGGAGCGTGTTGTGCTAAGAGGGAATGTAGGATAAGAACACTGGGGACATGTCATTCATGCACCGGAGATGGAAGTTCTGGCATTTGATTATTCTAGAAGGTCTAGTATAGACCTGTAAAGTGAATGCTGAAGGCATCTCCAGTTGGCATTTGTATTCTCCTCAGTCATGAGGAGGGTTTCCTCCTGTTGGCCTCCCACTGTGAAATGCCACCACGCTCAGCTTAAGGTAAGCCAACTCCAGCTACGTATTGTACAGAGCTGGAGTTGCATGCCTTAAACTGACCTTCCAGGTATAGTGTAGACCCTGGCCTAAGTGGTGGCAAGGGTGGAATCAACAATGTGAAGGAATAATAGTAATATGTTGGTGAGAGAAGACAGCAGTACTCCTATGGCCCCATTTGTCATGGCCGTGGAATTCACTTATTAAAACATTTGGGCCCTGCAGTATTAAACTGCAGTCTTTTTACTACAAACTGAAGATGCTTGCTGTGTATCTCTTATTCTGTTACATTAGCAACATACTTGGTAGTTTGGCCTCGACTTTTTTGCCTGCAAAGAGAAAAAGAATCAGTTTTCAGTACACAATACGTTTTAGATAAATCCTACTGTATTTCAAGATTATAGATGACACATTAGACCTCTTAAGGGGGAACTCATACTGTGTGATGCAAAAACAAACAAACCCAAAACAAAAAAAACAAACAAACAAAAAAAACAAAGCAAACCAACCAACCAACCAGCCAACCAACAAGAAATTCCTTCCCAGCTATGAATTTTAAATGAGCAAATTAAATTTATAGCAAGTGCCAGTTTAAAATATTTATTTCTAGAGCTGAAATAATGGCCAGAACAAGTCTAACAAGATAGTATTTAAACACTGTAATAAATAAATAAGTAAATAAATAATTGTTACAGATAAGCAAATGAAACACAAAAACTCTTGAACTCTTGAAATTCATCAATAATGATGGACATTATTTGACCAAGTCTATAATCTCATTAATAATTATTTATTACAGTATAGTCTATTTAAAGTTCTCAAATTATTTTCAGACATTAAGAATTAAGTCTTTACACTTCTGTAAAGAAAATATAATTTCCATTTTACACATGGAAGAATGGAGAAAGAGAGATTAAATAATTTGCTTCAATTCACATTGGACTTCCATGTCAAGATCAGAATCTGTCTCTCTAGAGTGAGGTAGTAACTTTATCCTTGTCCACATGTTATGAATAGAAAACGGCAATGCCACTTACCCAAAGCCAGAGGGAACCACGGCCAGAATGGAATTTGAATTTATAAATACCCAAATCCAAGACTTTAACCTTACGGTCATGCCTCTCTCTCATGAAATACACTAAATATTAATTAGATTGGACAGGAATTTTCCATTTCAATGTTATTTGACAGAAAATGCAGTTTTTGCAAAACTGAAATTTTACATGAGAAAATTCTGATTATGCTGAAGTGTTTCAATTTTGTTCTGGGAAAAATCAAAACAAAATATTTACATTGGGGTCAAGTTTACCAGAATCAAAACAGTTTGGTTTATCAAACCTAATGAAAAATTACATGGGTCAATTGGACATTAGTCCATTATGCTGTTATGGTGTCTCGAAAGTTGTAATTCAGGTGTTTCATACCATCATTCTCCTCTATAGCCCATGCTCCTTGGCTCGACTCTACCTTCCATGATTCCCTGTAGTTTTCCCTCTGGCTGAACTACCATAGTGCATCATAGGAGTCTCATGGCCATGGTGCATCTTGGGTGATGAAGTCCAATTATGCAACCTGGCCTACAGAGAGGCCTGAGGCAATGAGGCAAATTGATTACAATTCAAAATGCATTTCAGCACTTAAAGCAGCTCAGGTGATCACAAATTAATGTCAAATCAAAGTGAAATAAGGCATTTTGACATCTCTCGATTGAAATTTTTCATAACTTTCTTTTCCATACATTTATATTCTGACATTTCCTCCCAATTTTGGAGTATGGAAGATTATACCTCTCCTTGGGTGTGTCTAGACTACAGAGTTTTGTCGACAAAAGTGGACTTTTGTCGACAAAACTATACCTGCGTCCACACTACCGCTGAGTTCTGTCGACATAACGTCGACAGATCTCAGCAGTTTTGTCGACGTATGTAAACCTCATTTTACGAGGAATAACACCTTCTGTCGACAGAGTTTCTGTCGACAGAAGGTGTTATTGAATGGAAACTGTCCTTTGCGTCCAGACTACCATGTCGACAAAAGCAGCTTGCTTTGTCGACAGAACTCAATGTAGTCTGGACGCGCTTTGTCGACAGAAGTTTTGTCGACAGTATCTGTCGACAAAACTTCTGTTGACAGAAGCCTGTAGTCTAGACGTACCCCTTAGGGAAAGGATGGGCACTGCTCCTGTCTCAGAATCTAGACTACAGACCTCCAACAGTGTTGTTCAGGCCATCTACCTTTTATAGGATGAAATTAAATCAGTATACATCTGTAACTCACAAAAATTCAGAGTGCTAGGCCATAGGGAAGAAAAAAAATACCAGCCCTTCTCCTTTTCTGTGAGGACCTATGTGGCCAAGGAACATGCCTGGTCAGCTTCTCCTTTGTCTAGTGGCAGAGGTGTTCTGAATTGCAGTCCTGCTCTTTTACAGAGCCACCTTGCCCTGAGCAGAACCCATCTCCTGACTTGACAAACCTCACAGCTGTGCCAGGTTGAGGCTGACTGTTCTAAGAGGGCTCCTAACTGGGCTGGGTATCTGTCCCATCACAGGGATAAAAACAAATTAAATATCAGAATGTCTCCTGCATAATTTCCCCAGCTTTTATAAAAATGGGACAGAAGGAAGATCACCATTAAATATCAGTGACATGACAAGATATTCAGAAATATACCATTGAAATTAATTAAGCCCATGGTTAAAAGACGAAGAGCCACATTATGCTTTCTTTCTTTCTACTGAGTAGTATACTAAGTAGTAGTCTACTCTGGAAGCAATCATATTGAAATTAATAAGACTATCTATGGAACAAAGTACTGCTCTATGTGAGTAAAGGTGACAGCACCTGACCCTACATAAATCATATACCTACCATATTTCAAGTTTAAATAATGAAGAGAAGGAAATAGAGGTCCAAACTTGGATGTGGTGTAAACAGGTGGCACTTCATTCAAGTAACTGGAGCTCAACTAATTTGATCAGTAAACTATCTAGATTTTATCCCCAAATAAGATGGTTCTCAAATTTCTTGTGTGGTATCCAGAATTATTCTTGGTAACCAGACTTGGTAGTTTCACCCATTACTATTTTTATATTTAATTCAAATTATGTTTGAATCTTGCTTGCTCTTTTGAATGCCAAGAAGGGTATTAATTATATACAGCATATTCCTGTAAATTAGCTTCAGATAAGATTGAGAAGAGGATCCCTTCAGTTTATTGAACCATAAATTGGTAAGGCTAAAAGCAAAACAGGCTTACTGATTACTGTCATCTAGATGGAAAACTTGACATGTTGTTTACTATTCAGACAGTGAACATTTTTGTGTGTGAGCAAGTGAGTGTGAACATGCATTACAAGAAAATAATTTATTATTAATGAAACAGATGTAATTCTAGAACCATTTATTGTACTAAGTGGTAACAAAAATAATACAAAAATATTTTATAGCTTGAGAAGCATTGTCCTTGATTGCACAGTTAAATATATATAATAAACTAGTTACACAGCAAGGACTCCAATTGGCTTTATTGTGATTTGGATTGCACCTGAAACTCACTCTACCATGACATTTGTCCATAAATACATTACAAGAAAAGGCCCAAAGGAAAAGTGAAATCAACCAGAATCTCTTTGTGACATCCAAAGGCAGAACTTGTTTCCTAGAATTTGCACCTGATACTTTGAGGCATAAAAAGGCTAAATTTTGTCCCCTTTATGTATGTTACATAGAAGAAGTTCTACTCCACAAGAACTCCTGTTGACTTCAGAGGGCCTACCTTGGGGGTGCATCTAGACTGGCAAGATTTTGCGTAAAAGCAGCCGCTTTTGTGCAAAAACTTGCCAGCTGTCTACACTGGCTGCTTGAATTTGTGCAAGAGCACTGACTTTATAATGTACAAAATCAGTGCTTCTTGCGCAAATACTTTGACACTCCCACTCAGGGATAAGCCCTCTTGCACAAGAATACTTGTGCAAGAGGGACAGTTTTGACAGGCACCTTAATTTTTTGCGCAAGAAAGCCTGATGGCTAAAATGGCCATCGGAGCTTTCTTGCGCAAAAGCGCGTCTATACGGGGCATGGATGCTTTTACGCAAAAGCACTTTTTGCACAAAAGCATCCATGCCAATCTGGATGCTCTTTTGCGGAAATTCTTTTAATGGAAAAATTTTTTCCGTTAAAAGTATTTCTGCAAAATCATGCCAGTTTAGACACAGCCAGAGAGTAAGGAACTATGCAGCATGAGTTAGAGTGTTAGAACCTATCGTCAAGTGTTTAAACGGATTCTCTCTTCAAAATGTGATAGAAATGTTAAAATAAAAAGTGAAGGCATACCTTCAGCAGCAGGATGAAGGACTACTTTAGTGTCTTTCACCTTTTGGGCTTCTAAAACCACTGTAAAAGAAAATTAAATGAAGATTTACCACCCAAACAAACAAACAAACAAAAAAACCCACCTCATCCAAATCAAATATTTTATCCAAAACAAAGTGGAAAAAAATTTAAAAATGTGGAATTTGTATACCTTTTTCTCTCTGATGTACTAAGTAGGAAATCATTTAAGCATTCAATTAAATCCATCCCTCTTCACAAAAGCACATGCCTAATGTTAAGCATGCGCTAAGTAGCAATGCCTTCACAGGAATTTAAGCACATACTTAAAGTGCTTTATTGAATAGGGTCTAAGTGTGTCTCTGCTTTGTGCTTTGCTCCTTTTAAATTTCCAAGGAACTACTTCAGGGAGCAGCAGGAGTTAAAATGTGTCACATGATTCTGCTTAATCTTCAATACAGTTTTAATTTAAAGTTGGATGAAACAGCTTTGTCCTTGTTGGTACAGGGTGTTTCAGATTGCGAAATACGTGTGTTATCAACAAACCAGCAGAAAAATTAGAGTAGTGTTATTTGGCCTGTTTCAGTACATCTCAGACTAAACAGATTTGAAAAAAAAAGCTTTAGAATGGAATTCATCAGGAATTTTCACCCTGTCCTTGACCAATTTATCCACTCTCATAAAGTTATTGCCTCTTGATTGAATGCAATGTGCCATTTTCTCAGTTTTCAAGATTTGTGGACTTGATCCATCATAATAAATTGCTCTCTTCTGAGCCCTGTCAGGCCTTAAGAAAGTAGATGCCTGTTAAGCAGTGGGGAGACTGATTCTGCTATGCATGTAGTAAAATTATACCCCCCCCCCCCCCAAAGTAAATAAAAAGCAGCAAGTTGATTGAAAAAAGAGGAGGTCATGCCTTTCTTGTCTTGCACTTCACTATACCAGTGAAGATTGCTCTAATAGCCCCTGGGCAATTAGGGATATATAAACCTGCTAAATTGGTTAACTGGTTAAATGTGATGTTTAATTGGCTAACTGATTAAAAGGAGGGGTGGCTGGCCTTCCACCCGCCAACCCTCATTACAGATAGGGGCTGCCCCAACCTGGCCTGAGCCCCAGCCTGTGATGTACTCAGGCTTGCCACAGACAGGTGATGGAGCAACCCCCTGCACATGGCGGTGGGGAGCTGCTCCAGCCCCCACCAGTTAACTAGAACTGGTAATCATGACCTAATAAGGGTGATGCTTACCAGTTAACCTTTCACACCCAATGGACAATAGGAACTCAATTGAAGGAACACAGATAAGAGGGAAACAGCATGGTAGTTAGCAGAGTAGACAAACAAAAACCCGGTGGACTGAATTATCCCCCCTTCTCCCCACCAAAATTACCTAATAAAACAGCTCTCCTGAACATAGACTGGCCTTTCAACCTTCCTCACAAATTCTGTCTTAGGTATTCAAATGGTTCCCCTTAATATAGTATCTCAAAACAGTTTTCAAGGTAATTATTTTCATAGCTTCCCTGTGAGCGAAGGAAGATTTAATTTTGTGTTAAAATTGGGAATACCATCACATGTCCAAAGTCACTCTGAAAGTCTGTGGTGAAGTTGTAAATTGAACATAGGTCTTCCAAGTCAAGGCTAGCCTTGTGACCGGTAGACCATTCCTCTTCTTAGTTTCTGCCTCTTCTGGTAGGCCTGTGTGCTGCTAGAAAGCTCCATGGAGCAGAGTTTCACAATCACTCTTCTGAATAACTATGATGACTTGGTGCACTGATAAAGGCAAATCTCCTTAATGAAGATCTAGTTTAACATAACTAATAAATGCAGTTAGGTTTTCCAGGGCATTAAGCTACAGTAAATCAAAAATAGAAAATAGAGTGCTCTAATGAAAGCTATTGTTTTTTCCATCCTATGACTACAGTAGAGGAGCAATAAAGCCAATTCTAGTATATCTGACTTAATATAATTTCTAATTCTAATATATCTCCATTTGGATTGCCTTATATATACACTCCAAATAGCCTAGGCATTTCAAACTAAAGAATGAATTGACCGTATTTTTTGGGTGAGGGTTAAGCTCTATTCCCACACTACAGCTCAGGAGCACTTTGTTCCACACAAATATGAAGGAAAATAGAAACTTTCTGATACTTCTTTGGTATGCATGTAAACAACGGGGTATAGAAGAGGTATAGACTACATGGGGATATTTTCTGAGAGGACCCACTCTAACTTAAATCTGAGCTATACGCCTGTGGGGAACAGCAATAATGATCCAGATCTTCCTTCAGTTCATACATTCCGTCTGTCAGATGAACAGAAATACTGGGAAATGCAGATCTTGCTGAAACAGAGTAATCTCATATGAAGGCATTAAAAGTTAATGGCTTTAAAGTACTGTAAGTCTCAAGCTCCCAGGAGGACAAATCTTCCATAGATGGAACTAGAGAGAATGAAATTACAGCTAAAGGCAGATTAAGTATGTGCATTGTATTCATTACTTTGGCATGTGTGTTGAGATGCCTAGAGAATACTCTTTCAATATAATTATTAAACCCTGACCTTTAGATGTACCAGAAATTTTCCTGCTGTTAGATAACAGGCAATATACAACCCACACAGATCATACCTAAAGTATATTAAAAAACAGCTTCCAAGGAAATCAGAAATCATTGGGGTCAAAGGCATCATTCTTTTACAGGGTGCTCATGTGTGTTTGCAAGTGCTGTTATTGTTCAGAGTTGAGCTCGGACCAGCCCCCCTCAAATGAAATAAATATTTCAAGCTGCATTTCATAGCTAGCAGTTATCTCTATAATGCACCAAATTAAAATCTGAAACCCATACCCCATAGAAAAAAATTGGATCTGATTCTGAACTTAACTGCTCAGACCCTTCTCTATTATTGACTAATCTCATTTAAGTGTTAAAAAAAAAAAAAAAAAAAAAAAGCCCATGTCTTTGTGCAGTTGCTTCAATGTATTATGTAATTAAGGTGGGATAGAGATTATTAAAATGTGGAGAATGCATACATTTATGGAAAGTAAGTACATGCTGAGGGACTTCAGGGGAAAACATATGCATATGATATCATTTGAAATACTGACATTTAATTACTTTGTGGCATGTTTATGAGATTACCTCCTCCCTACATCTTGCTTGTCACATTAATTATGAGGTAACCTAGTGGAATAATGACTGGTCTTTAATGCCACTGTTTTTTCAGTTGCAAGCTTCCAAAAGCACATTTTAGAAAATTAATATCACATAGTTAAAGTAGGGGATTTTTTAAAGTATCAAAACCAAGACTCATTAATTTTGGAATTGTATTTAACTATTCAGTCTTCCTCAAAGCACTTAACGTGCAGTATTTTCTGCATGTTGGAATATGGTAATACTTTCCCGGGTGGGGGAATGTGTTTGGATAATTAATCAGGTGTGGTAAGTATGGAAGGGTACATCTAGACTGCAGAGTTCAAGGAATTTTTTTTTTTTTTTGGAAAAGCAGACGCGTTTTTTCGGCAGTTTTGTAAACCTCATTTTATGAGGAAGAAGGGATGTTCCGAAAAAGGGATTTTCTCCAACATTTGGCCCACTGTAGGAAAAGCCTCTTTTGAAAAAAGAAGCGGAAAAAGCTACCACATCTTTTCCCAGAAGAACTGTGTAGTCTTGACACAGCCTTTAAGAGTCTTTCAATATGTTGTGCTGATTGACAGTTAAGCAGAATAATGTTGAAAATGCTGAAAATATGCCAGGGAACCTATATTATACCTAACAATCAATAAAAACATAGTCCTATATAGTTGGTGGCCTGTTATTTTAGCAATCACATAAGTTAAACTGTGTCTGTTATTTGGACTGAATGAATTACTATTTTATTTTAATACAAGCAAAAAGTGCTTAATGCATTGTGATAATAGTAACTAAAATAAAGCACATATAAAATAGAGTAAATATTTCAAACTGGTGTTACCAAATAACATTTTGTTCTTTAATTTGTTCCTCAATTTTCAATTGAATTAGTTTGCACAAATGTAACCAACAGTTTGGGCTAAGGTCCGCTGAAAGTCATTTTGGGTAAATTTTTCAAAAGCTCCTAAGTAATTTAAGAACATCAACCCCACTGAAAGTGGGTCCAGTGCTACTCAGTCACTAAACCACTTCAATTCTAGGTGTTTAAATACAGAATTAGAAGCCTAACTTTATGCATATGGGATTGAAAATTTTGACTTTGGACCCTAATTTAGGATCTGGTGAGAATAGATATTCTGTATCTATTCCACAATGGAGTGTATTCATTGTTACCTGGCTTTGCTGGCTTGTCTTCTTTTTTGACTTCAGGTTCTGAGAAAAAAAAAACATTTTGGAAGTTAAAATTATAAAAACAAAAATTCAGCCATTTCAATTTGTGTCCTAATTTGGTTACTCTGTTTTTATACCATCTCTCAACCAAAAAAAGATAGTCCTGCACTGATTCAGGGAAGATAAATAATAGTGTATAATATACTATATTGTAATAATTGATGTGCTTTTCATAAAAAGCTGAGGAGCTCAACCGTGATTTTCAGTTATTAATTAATCAAGTATCTCACAGTTCTATAAAATGGATATTATTTATCTATACCCACATTACAGACAGATAGAGTGAAGTATACAGAGGTTAAGTAGAACTTTCTATTGAAGGCTATAGCTTTTTCAGTAAATTTCCCATATTCATTGCAAATTCTACATAACTACCTAGCATTAGGGAAGAAATGTTTTTTTCTGTCCTGCAGTTTACTTGGTATTATGGAAGTTATCCAGTTTGGCATTGGAATGAAATTGAAACCTGTCAACAAAAAATCAAGAGAGAGACCTTCCCACAAAATAACCACTCTCCTGGGAGAATTACACGTAGCAGAATGAGATGAATTACCTCAGAATTTGCTTAAATCCGAGTTGCCTTTGCTTGCTTAAGTTTATTTATAAACTATTTGTAAATATAGAGGGGTTCCTATAGTGTGGGCATTGCAACTGTGCATATATAATAATTTAAGTGATACTGGACTTGATCTTGGGATAAGAACTTGTCAACCCTCAAAGTGATAACTGAGGATTCTTACGTTATCAGTATATACATACTCTACAGATCAGGCTACAACTTTCTGTCTATTACTTTTTAGAGTAGTGTTGCATGTTAAGTAAATATACATGTGGTAAACTATATACAGTGGTGGCTTAAGTCATACTACTAAATTGGCATGTTCAACTGTACCGTATCCCATATTGTTATGGCCAATTGTTTCAATCACAGGAAGACTTCCTTTCAATTTATCTAGCCAGCATACAGTGTGTCTAGACTACAGGGGTGTGTCTAGACTACATGCCTCCTTCGACGGAGGCATGTAGATTAGCCAGATCGGAAAAGGGAAATGAAGCCGCGATTAAAATAATCGCGGCTTCATTTAAATTTAAATGGCTGGGGCCCGCCCC